TGGGAGGTCATCCCATTACGTCGCGGTGTGTATAATTGGCCCCGAAAGTTGTATTTTTCGGACTATTTTAGTCATATTTTATTTTATCGGGCCGAATAAAATATGTCACGTGTTCCCAATAATTATGGGCCTTTAGAATAGATGTACATTCCCCAACATTAATTTAGGAGTCTCCGAAACTCATTCCGGGCTGTTATCCGCTAAATTACCAATACCGGTAATTGGGCCCCGTTTGACCAACCGGTCAACTCCATGCCTTCCTTATGGCCCAAATAAAATATCCACCACCATATAGATGTCATCTAGACCAAGATGAATATAATATGTGGTTCGGGAATTATCGGGCGACCCCCCGGTCCGGACGTGGGCCCCACATGCAATTTACTATTCACGTAAAAGAATTAATAGAAATTTACATTTACGCAATTTCATAAATCATCCTTTAAGGTTTATTACATAATTTACTAAAAGTAAATATGCTTGGGGACGGTGCTACAAATATCATGAGGATTCATATCGTTTCTACGACTAGACATAGAAATGATAACCTCTGAAAAGCAATATGAATCGTTAACTACCACACGGGTGTGACACAACAATCACTTGCCCTATAGATCTTTCTAACGACATAATAGCATTAGAATTGTCAATCATTATTGTAGATCTAAAATTAAGACATTAACAAAAAATAGAGCAACGTAAATAAACATAACTCGAAAATAAGACCATAAAAAATAAAATAACTAATAAAAGCTTCAAACTCCTTCCTGTCAATTTTCTTGAAACATCATCCTTCAAACCCTGACACCTCGGTCGCTCCGAGGCGGCAGTTAAGGAGGGGGGCAGACTGTCGATCTGTATTATCTCTTGTTCAACCCTTCACTGTTCCCCGCCTGCTCGTTGCTCGTGCCGCCTCCTAATATGGTCGTCGTGCACTTGATGTAATGGTTCCTACTAGCAAAAATTTCCCACTTGATGTATCGGAATCCATGACCTCCACCAAAAGCATCTCATCATCTTCCTTCATCTCCATCCTGCCATAGGCTGGAGCCAACACCTCAATCTTCATTTGCCCATGGTTAGCCCCATCGTTGCTGACTTGCAAAAACCTTTAATTCGCTTGGCCGGTGCTAGCAAATTGCTTTCTGACCGCAAATACCTTTTGAATGCAACCCAAGGAACTGATGGACATATCTTACCATCTCAGATACTATCTTAAGCGCAATTATATCTCTCCCAAACGTACACAAGAAGACCTCATACACAGATGTACAATGTATCCTATAATCTAATTTAATCTAACTAGTGTTTTGCCAGAGATTATGTGATAGTTATAACTTATAAGCAGTAAAAGTAACTAACCATAAAACATACACTCAAGACCTTTGTTTATGTTTCCATATTCATTCTATAAATAGTCAATGTTTTGTACAATAAAAAAATATAATATACTATAGTCCTTGCACGGTTTAACTGAAATGAAGAATGTTCAAATGCATCACATAACCGGCTCACAACAAACGAATTCAATGATCCATTCAACAAACGTTTGATGAGATTCTGTTTGTAAATGCAGAAAGATAAAATTTTAGATTAATATATGATGAACTCAATATATAGATAAATACACAATAATATAGTAACAACTCATTCTCGGTACACTCAGATCAACACAATATATAGATCAATAACCCCATCAATCCTCTCCTTTACCATATAATGGACTAGGCCCAGGCCTTTAACTTGGACCCGCGAGTCCAAGCTTGGGTCCACCGTCTCACCAGGCCAGCCCGACCTGTCAGTCCAGTAGGGCGGGAACTCGAGCGTCAGGCCTGCCAACCAGACCGACCGCCAACCAAGAAAAGTAACGGCCTATGCAGCATTGATACGGGTACGAGGAAACGCGAAACGGGTACGAGGATACGACAAAACCAGAAAAAAAAAGTAGGATACAGATATAGGGGTATATTTATAAATATTAATAGGTATGAGGTGTATTTATAGATATTCAAAAATATAGGGGTGTGTTTATAAATAAATATTAAAAATTACATTTTATTTTCAAAATATATACATATATTATCCCCTATCCATTCATGACATTGAAACATTTTACATAATCAAGATACTTAGAAATAAATTCATATTTTATCTCATATACATTAGTGCAACTCGAAATATAAATATAGTCAATAAGTCATTAATTTAAAATGAGAACAAGTAAAACAACCACAATTTTGAAATTAAAAGTGCAAGTACTCAAAGTTCTTGGATAATGAAGATAGAAAAATATATTCTAAAAATTCTAATACATATTTCCATTGGAGCTACTAATATTTCCAGGGATAACATCGTCTTCCAAAAAGACAGAGAGAGGTCCATTAGTTGTGTATTACATAAAGAATAAAAGATGAGTGGATTAGAGATAGACGAGATGAGTAAATTAAAAATGAGTGAATTAGGGATATATCCATTATTTCGGTACCGCATAATAGCAAGGTAAAATTTAATTTGAGTTTTTCATTTTTTTAATTTTTATTATGTAACTTTTGGGTGTTTCTTTAAAAAATTGATATGTGTATCCATTAGGAAACGAGTATCCGACATTTTAAAATAATTACCAAAAAATGGAAATTTCTAAAAATTACAGATACGGACTCGGAACGTACAAATATTTATGTATTTAATTTCGTATTAATTAGTCATAATTGATGATCGCGGTTACCATTTGTAAACACCTATAAAAGGCAAGTTGTAATTCAAATTGAGATGCTATTTCTGGCAACTATCCCCTAACACTTTCCATTTTCGTACTTTCTTGATATTTGCTTGAGTTTACTGTAATAACAGGTTATCCATAGGTCAGTGACCAACGAATGAAGATGTGATGCCAAAGTTGGGTTATTCCTGAATTATGAATAAAGAGACTACTGTAAGAAGACCGCTAAAAGATTGAATTATTAATTTCCATTTTCCCTACTTTATATATCCAACTTTTATCAAATTTGATTTTTTTTTTCAAATTTACAAATCTATTAATGTAGTTTTCTAAATATTTAATTTTTATTTACTGAAAATAATCTTATTATTAAAAGGGATCAATTAACTTTATGATCAGTCAAACATTGTAATCCGTATGAGAACCGTTAGGGGGGAGTATATTAATTTGGTTGAAATTATTCAGATTTAGGGTGTGATTTCCCTACATTTAACACAATTCAAGAATTTCAATAAACTACTAAATTTGTTCACCGTATATCCAACCCAAGTAAGTTAGGAGTCCGAAAAGCGTGAAGTCCAATAAACTTGTAATTCTATTTTGTGTGTCACATATACATTTCAAACTTCTACTATACACATTTCTGTAGACATTTATGCTCATTTTATAATGTCATATAAAATATAAATTTCTATAAAGCAGCATCCTCATTTCAACAAGCCTCACATGGAGTACTTAACAAAAATTAATAGAATTAGTCAGATGTGCTATCTAAATCCATGTAGGAGTGTTCATCAGTTTGATTTCATCATTTTCGATTTTATCGAATATTGATTCGTTTTTTTAACGTTTTTAGAAAAGGTGAAACCGAGAATTGAACCACATAGCTTGAGTTGGTTTTGGTCGATCAGTTTCAGTTCAATTGGTTTCTAACCTAAAAGTATAAATCATAAATCAAACCTCCGATGGGTTCATCGATTTTGGTTTCATTCGGTTCGTTTAAATCGGTTTGGTTTTGATCAATTTGTCAATCAATTTGAGTTTGCTTTTTGCTCACTCCTATTAAATCTTACATGTGATTGTAAACATTTATAGAAGTGGGAGAGGGCTCGAGCTAAAATAAATAGGTTGAATCCAAAAAAATGACACCCCATTCTCGAGGGCTCCCCAGAACCGATCGAACACTTATCTGAGAAGATGTAAGTGGAGTTTTGATCACACTCTAATGGAAAGAAAGTGAGGTTTCATCCCAAATCATTGCTTGAAGTTGAACCTGAGAGACTGAGACCTCTCTTGTGTCACTCTTCCTTCTGGGTGAGCCATGCTTGATGCTCCGGTAAAAATAAACTGAATCCAAACTTTAAGGCTAGTGTTTGTATTCAATCATTTGTCTCTAGACTTTCTATTCTTATCATAACCCTCACTCCTCTCCGTTGATTGCTCATTTATTCCCAATGGCGAGAATCTCGGCCCGGGTGGCCCGACCCGGAACCGGCCCGGGTGGCCCGACCCGGAACCGGCCCGGGTGGCCCGACCCGGAACCGGCCCGGGACCGGCACTGTTCCGGCCCGGCCCGACCCGGTGGCCCGGTCAGTGACCGATCCGGGTAGGCCCGACCCGACCCAGTGGCCCGGTCAGTGACCGGTCCGGGTAGGCCCGGCCCGTGGATTTTCCGGTCCGGGCTCGGGTCACCCAAAACAAGGCCCGACCCGGCCAGGTCCCGATTCGGGCCAAAAATTTTTTTTTTTTCAATTTTTTTTAACTTTTCGGGTTGGGCTGGGTATTTTGGGCCATTTGGGGTGGTTTGGGGGGTTGGGGGTGGGAGGGGGGTTAATTAGGAAGAGGAAAACAAAACAAAAAAATATAATGGGCCTGGCCCGGCCCGGCCCGGACCCGGACCGGACCCGGTGGTTACCCGGGCCGGTCCCGGGTCCACCATTTCTGACCCGCCGGCCCACCCGGGTCTAGACCCGACCCGGACCCGGCCCGGACCCCAGTCCAACCCTGGGCGAGATCATATCCCCCATGCAGCCATCATCTTCCAACGCTTTAAATCTCTATATTTTTAATTCAATAATGTTTTTCTCATCAACGCCATATCAAATTTTCAACCATTCGCGAGCTTCTTCAAATCTTCGTTCAAGCTCAGTGTCAAATAGGTACTCGTATTTAATTAGTACAACCATATGTTTCTTAAAACTCTGGGTCGGAATTCGTAATAAGTTTTAAAAATTTGACTAATTTTTCTCAATTAGAGAGCAAAATTGTATCTTGTGATGATCAAAATTGATACATAATTGATAATCCAAGAACAGAGTTGATCAGATTTGAATTCAACGAGTCTAAAAAACACATCAGTCACATAACTAATGCACATGCAGAATGCGTGTCGATTGCTACAACTTCATCATGCCGATTGGCAGAATATTCAGACTAATCACTAGGTCAATCAGCCGGGAAGCCAACCCCAGTGTTCTTCACAGACATTGTTTGAGATCATTTGATTAACAAATGTAAATGTTAAGTACTCGTTATTACTCTTACATTGTTGTCAAAAAATACAGCGGTAGTACTACCAAAAACACAGATGCTATAAAAACTACGGGGGGGATCTTGATGTTACCAATTAAATCTTTAAAGCTAAAGGTCATCAGATTTGTCTCCCTCTAGTGATGTCTTTCCATTTACGGCTACAAGCTCAGTGTCAAAGATAAGTGTTGCACCACCTAAGAAATTGACAACAAGACATGCAATTTTAGTAATACGGAAGTATTGCATATCCCACCTTGAAAATGCTACTCAGCTTCTTTGTTATCCAAACAAAGCAGTTTCCAACACTAATGTATTTCCTTGAGGGGAAATATAATGAAAGAAATGGAATGATTCTAGTTTTTATGTGAAGTCAGATATATGGTTTAAGTTTTTGGGTTTTAACAAAACACCCTTCATAAAATGGTGATGATGCTCTCTAAGTTAATGCAAAAACAGCTTGATATCATAGCATTGTATTTCTGATTTGATGTATAATCCAGCGGAAGGTAGAATATCAGGATCGAGGCTTCATGCACTGTTGGTCCCAAAGGTGGGTGTTATGCTTCAAAAGAAAGATTTGGGATACAAGAAAAGGATGGTGGTAGAATTAGTATTACCTGGGATCTTAGGTGGGGACCCATTATCACCATAACCAAGTTTAGCAGGTATTTTTAACTTTCTCTTTTCACCCACACACATTCCAAGGAGTCCTTGATCCCATCCTGTAGTGCCACCAAAGAAACAAGAACATACATATTAAAGAAAAGATAAACATGGAAATGTATTTATGGGTGCACGCATACAGATATCACGCATATGTATTTAAAACGGAACCTTTTGCACGCATACATATATCACATATTTCTGGCTTCAAAGAAATATAGTGGCAGAAAACTCGAGTAATGTTTACACATTAAGACGCTCACAACCAAAAGTGTATACACATTAAGAAAACTGTCATGGTCGGGATACTGTCAATTATAGTGACAGGTTTGCTATATCACACTATCACAACACTCAGTGGTCAGAGGTGGCTTGTTGATGTATTGTTCTAATGTAATGGCATAGCAACCTAGTTGTGGCTAGTCACACATACATGACCAGTTAAATTGACGGAGCTAGAAATAGCCTTGAATGATAAATTTATTGAACATGACCACTATTTTGACAGTATAAAGGACAAATTTATGGATTTGATGCTGTAAGGACTCTTAGGTACTAACGTTAACATTTCTCAATAGTACAAAGATTGTTTTCATATGAATCTTATATTTATTATATTCTGAATTTTTTCGTTCCCTAGTCATAGAGATGAGGAATAGAGAAAAATTATCAAAATAATGGCAGTCAATAAAAATCACAGGTTACGGGGATGAGATTGATGCTAGAAATGAGTGCTAGGCTTCGCTGTCGGTCCGGCCCGGGTGATGAAGGTGATGAAACTGACTTAAATATTGACTCCTACAACTCTTCAAAACAAATGATGACACCCCATCCCTGAGGGCACCCGAAACCCGACCGGACGGTACGTTGGGAGGATGTAAGTTGGACTATAATCCCAATCTGACAGATAGAGAGTGAGACTCTGTACCCGGTACTTGCAGAGGCACTCCCTCTCATCGCAGTTGCCGGGATTCGAACCCGGGACCTAACCCTTGTGGCACTCCCTCGCTACCAGTGGAGCTACGCCCACCGGTTCCTACAACTCTTTAATTAATTCATCAAAGTTATTTAGGGATTGTTTGTGATTGCTTCTACTTAAAAAGTGACTTTTTAAAGTGATTTTATAGAAAGTAGCTATTAGTATAAGTTGATAGTGTTTTAGAACAAAAGTGATCAATTTGAAAAAGTTAAAGTTAGAGTGTTTGGTAAAAAAGTGACTTTTAATGTAATATTTTGTTGAAGTACAAATATACCCTTATTTAAATTGCATAAGAAATACTGTAAGAAATTACATATTGATCTTCTTCCAAATTGGAACTCAATCCATGGATTTCCTGAAGAAAGTTTTTCTCTCGATATACCGAGTTCCAAAACTATTGCGGATGGATTGGCAGACCAGCAGACTAGCAACGGGGACCAAGGGACTAGCACTTCGAATATTGTTATTTTTTATTGCCTAGTATACTTGCTTTTACTTCAAAAACCGGTCGAGGATGCTGCTGAATGCTGATAAGGGAGAATTATCCGGCGACTGTAACCTAATCCGGCAACATCAAAGGATCCTTTGATGTCGCCAACTCACCACGAATCTCCTCTGCAAATGTCGACCATCTCAATACACACACACATACGCACACCCACACAATTACAAGACAGTCTTCATAGTTTTCATTTTTTGTTTTTTCAATATGATTATGGAAGATGAGAAATGACAGAAGGGCGAAAATGGCGGAACGGAAGGGGTAGCAGAATATAAGAGGAGTGAAGTGAAAGGGGTATTTTGTGTTGAATTGGATAAATTATCCATATAATCAACCTTAAAGTTTAACTTATTTACAACAAAACCAAGAATCAATTAAAAGCATGCTCCTACATGCTTTTGGCTTTCGGCTTTAATCTACTTAACTTTAAGCAAAAGTAGGCATTTGAAAACACACTTTTAAGCTTTTTTGAAACAAAAAGTTGAAAAGAGTTTTTTTAATCAATAGCAAACACTGCCTTAGATATTGTTTTCGTTTATAAATAAGAACATCTTTTAGCATAGGAGGTATTGAGAGATTAATGCAATTAAGGACTTCCTAGAATTGGGCATCCCAAGGCTGTAGGGAAAGTTATCTTGCTCAGGAATGCCTTCAGGTATCTATTGTTCTTTTCTTTCTTCTTCTACATGTACGTTTCTTCAATTTCTTGCAATTTCATAAGACATTATACTATCTGAGTCAACTGATCGGAAATGCAAAAGTTTAGTGTCTGAGGAGGATGTGCGTACGCTGACACCGTGTCATTAAATCACACCAGATTTACATCCCAATTCAACTAATCAATGTAATTTATCAATATTGCTTCTTAATAATCGTTTTCTTGATGCTTTTTGCCAGTTAAAAGTTTTTTGTTGGGTTTTTCTGTGTTAACGGTTTACTGATAACACATAAGAAGCGATTCTTACGTGTACGGTCTTTGAAAAAAATAGGAACCATTTGAAGAACTGTTAGATTTATACTGGTTTTAACTTCTTTTGAAAAACGGATATAAAACAATTAACTGATCACAAATGGTTTAGATCTATGCATTAGTTTTAAAGATTTCCCTTTTTACTCCAAAATATTTAGCATACCTTTGATCACGCTACCTTGACCGAGCGGAAATTCAATAGGGTCACCCCTTTCAAAACTGGAATCGAACACAGTTCCATCAGTAAGCTTTCCCTACAAAGATCATCCATCAATAAATTTCAATAACCAACCATGTGCGTTTGAATTTAAAAAATCTTCACCTGAAGTTACGGAACTGGTCTGATAGTACCAATAGGTGATACTAATAAACACAATAGGACCACCCCAAAATCGAGTTCCCAAATTAACTAGAACAAATCAACTACTATCACAACTTAATACATGTATCATTAGGATATTACGTAGTATATTATAAAAGAGATATTCCAGTGTTTCTTTTTATAAAATAGAAAGCTTACAGTTAGGGTGAATAAGTGTGAGTGGTCATAGTTGCACTTACCCGATAATGTACTTTAATTCTATCACCTTTATGAGCCTGGAGTTCACAAGTAATTGGCTTATGCTGCCACAATTGACAAACAAAGTAGGCAAAATTAAGGAGAGACCAATAAATGACAAACCAAGTAAACCTTATCCAAGTTCTATAATCACAAGATAAAGTCAGTAGAGGCTAAGGAAAAACATTAACTAATATGTGTGTGAAACCCTAGGCTTACTTAAATAGATCAGATACATCGCACTCGCACATTGGTGGCATAACCATTAACCAGAAACTCATGTTGAACATTGACCACTACAGAACTTTGGCTGGAAACCACTTAATACTCACTAAAAAACTTGTCAGACTAGTACGGAGTATATGTTATTATATAAATTATATAAATTGAGAAACAACTTAAGTACTTAGATGATTAGTACGTAGAAAGGGTTAAATCCAGATTTAGATTACAAAAGGAGAGGGTATGCATGATCAAATCATATAGTTGAATCATATGAGTGTATGCTTTTAATTAAGTAAAATGTTATGGAGTATTATAAATTAATGAAGTAGTCAGATAAAGCATTATAAGACTTAAGTATGACCAAAAGGCCCATCCCAAGTTGAGAGTGAATAAACTACGTACAGTATAAATAACTACATAACACAATAAACATATTCATCAAATAAAATAAAACATTCATTTCTTCTCTAAAAAACGAAGATTTTACTTTTGGTATGAATCTAAAGAAAAATTAATAGATATACACAGCACAAGCTAATAATAGTAATGTTAGGATATCAAATAGTGTAACAAAAACTTTCCATCTCATAAGCACTTTAGAAGAAATTGGGCCACCAAATCATAAAACCCCTGATTTAATTTACCTTCACACCGATCTGCAATTCAGTTACATCCCCGGATTTCTTAGCTGCAACTGCAAACATAGAAAATTACGCCCAACCAAATTATGAATTGCTTCATCTATGAATATTCGCTTCTGTGCTTAACAAGTCACGAACAAAATTTACTTGGTGAACCCTAGAAAGAGTTCAATGTTTAGGGGGAAATTGAAAACAAAAAAGAACACATCACATTACCTAATGTTACAATCGCAAGAACAAGAAGAATCGAGGCAGAGCCGAATCTCATTTTCCTGACCTGTTCTTTCACGTTTATCCCACTAGGTGCAAAAAAATCAGATCGATCTCACTGGATTGTTTACTCTTTGAGTACGGATAGTACGTGGGATAGGAGTTTACGAAGTACGTAGTAAGAGAGATGATCGGGCGCGTTACAGTCCACGGCAGGCAAGGGTGAACCACTAACGTAATGTTACGTAGCGCTAGCCAATAACAAATTCCCATGTCAGCTGAGAAATGAAATGAGTTTGAATAAGGTAGCTAATTGACACCGTGGCAATGAATGACTTTTCTCCTGGTCAAATTTGATCGATATTTCTAAATGTGATGAAATTGATTGAAATTCTGGTAATCGAATATGCTGGATTATGTTACTAATAATAATAATAATAATAATAATAATAAATAATAATAATAACATAATTTCACTAACCCAATCATAGTTTATAATAACTTCGGTCAATTCATACTCTACGGTAACTTGAGTAAAAAATGTTGGATTGTTAACATTGAAATAAGGAAATAATCATATAAACAAATGACTGAAATGATACTTTACAATAATTTAAGTCAAATCATCCAGAAAGGTAACTTGAATCCTACTTATTTTGACTATTACACAATTTAATATGCGCAATCAAAAATCCTATGTTTGGTGTAAAAAATTGACCGATAAAGTTGATAAGCAGAAGTTTGAAAATATCAAATGAGCCCAATAATGATAATACAAGACTCAAGGTAAAGTTGATCCACATATTTGAAAATTTGAGGATTTTTCAGTCTCTAATTAGAACACATAAGATCAAATTAAACTTCAGTAAATCATATCATATTGAACAGATAAAATCAAACTTAAACAGTAGTAATATATACAAATTCTATGTACTAAATATATACTAGATCAAATTTAAACAAACTATATTAGACCATAAAATTAGAGTCAAACAAAAACATCTTTACTATCTTACCGTATGTAATTACTTGTAAATTGTTGGGTGTCTCGGAAAAACGAAGAAATATTAATTAAATAAAAATTAATTAATAAATAAAATAGCTAAAGAAAACAGAAATAAGATGGAACAGAAAATAGTCAGAGCTCGTGCTACGCACGATTTCCCTAAAACATATTCGTCGCCTTCCACGGTGCTAGGAGCGTTGCAACGACCGTTTCCCAGGATAGAACTAGCGTTTGAGCACACAAACGAAAGTTCCGGCAAACGTGAACAAAGGTAGAACACTCATGAAATTTTTCGGAGAACTACAGGTGTTTTTCAGAGCTAAAACGTGTGTATGGTTGCTTGTGAACGTGTAAAACCGTGTGTTTGTTGCAAAGCACCTGTCAGCTATTTATAGGAGGATTTGTTGTGTGTTAAATGGAGTGTTAATGGATCTGAACGTTGGGCATTTATTGCTGTAACGGACCAGAAGACCTTGAGCCTTTCTATTGCGACCAGAACACCTCAAACGTTCTGTTGCGACCAGAAGACCTCGTATCTTTGAATGATAGATTTTTCGGACGGCATTCGTGTCCGCAGGTCGCCCGCGCACACGAGTCACGGTTTTTCTTCTCCGTTTTCGGGATTTGATCGACACCCCCTTGCGCGCAAGAGAGAGCCTTTACCTTTAGAAATCTTAACTACTTAAAAGAGACTTCCCTTTATAAGGGGGTGAAAATCTCTTGAGTTTTCCAGTGTGGTATAAAACACACTAGAAACCCATCATTTTCCGAGTTTTTCCATTTCAACGAGTGAACTTCGAGAATCAATTTCTCATTCACCCTTTATCCGTTTTGGACGTACCATATATCGAATTGTAGCCCTTAACAAGGACAATCTGAAAGCACTTTGACCCGGCCCAAATCGGAAGTGGACCCCACTCAAATAATTGCCCCAAAATGACCATTTAATGCAATTTTTAACACATTTTCCCATCATAAATTTCTACCGTAAGCGTTTTGCATAGATTAAGACACAAAATTAACATATATGATGAAGTGTAAAAAGTGTAAAAGTATGAGAAAGAAAAATGGAAAAGTAAAAAACAGATGAAAAGGTAAAATAAAATTTACCAATACTACTCCGTATAAAGGAACTATTTCAATTAATTCATGTGGACGGGACTCTAATTGTACAATATCAATAATACATGTGAATATCCAAAATAATGTAAATTATAAACTATAGATATTCCCAATTCCAATTCAACGCTTCTTCTTATCATTCCTTATCATATAAGTAGCCATATAATTAGTGGAGTATTCATGGTGGTGGTTAGTCCTATAATTAATAACTTTTACAACAATAAGCACATAAACCAAAATATAACCACAAATTAGTACTCCAAAAGATGGTAATTCTTAAAAGCAATCACCAAAATTTTGATCATATCCTATGAATAGTTTACAATGTTTATTTCACCTGAATCATGTCAAATTAACACTACCGGGACATGCCCCGGGTGTTACACTAGTTTCAATTAATTAAATACTTCAAAAAAGGATACTTCAAAAAAGGAACATTTTGCAGCTGATAAATTAGTGAGACAGTTTAATACTACTTCCCTTCCAAATACTTGAACAAATCTTAAAATCTGGAGTCTGGACCATGGTTTTAATTAGAATAATACTATAAAAGATAAATTTTATACTTTTATAAAATTACTTTTAACAAAGAACATTTTCATAATAAAAAAACAAAGAACATTTTTATATGATTTTTATATTATAAATAGTTTCCAATATATATAATTAGTTAAAGTTTTGAATTTGGCCAACTATTTTGGGATGGAGTTAGCATAAACAAGTAATTTAAGCATTTTAAACTACAAGGAACGAAGTCCAACTCTCCAAGTATCACGTCTATGGAATCATAAAAAATCATATGTGTAATGTCTGTTATTCCAAAAAAATTGCACCGCTGAATTCTTTCTATATACGGAGTACTTACCCGCACGGGTAGCTCAGTTGGTCGAGCGGTGGGAAAAATTGAACGTAGACCAAGGTACGAATGACTAAAATATCTCCTTGCAAATAACAAAAATTACATAAAAATCTAAATGAATAGAGATCATGGTTGAGGATGAATTAGTAGGTTTTGATTTTGTTTATGTGTCGATGACATATGGTAAGAGAAAGACATGAAAAACCGGACACTTGAGAAGTATGGATGGAGATAGGCATGGATTCGGGCCGGACCTAGACCCGGTCGGGTCGCCGGTTTGTGAATGGTGGGCCGGGACCGGCCCGAGGTACAGGCGGTTCCGGTTCGGGCCGGGCCGGGCCGGTTAAATCTATTTTTTTATAATTTATACTTTGTAGTTTTATACAAGTATTAAAAACAAACTTCTAGTGCATTTATTTGTAATGAAATAGGAACTACATTTGACAATTGAGAAAAAAAATACAATATGAAATACATTTTGTAATCAATCGGAACTTCCCGGACCTCCCGGTCCTTTGACTTTGTCACATGACTTAATATGCTACCTTGCCATCCCGTATGAAACCCCCATGCTACACTTTTTTTCGCACCATTTGCAAGTTGCGTAGCACATCCCGGTCCTCGGGTCCTTCTGCATATCAAAATTATACCGTATAACGGCATATTGACTTTTCATCTTAAAAATGGTAGATATAATTATTCTACAAATACTAGAATAGATGGAGATGAAGATGGAGAATGGAGATTGAAGATTGGATATTGGAGAAGATGTGTATAAAAATGTTAGAAAATAGGAATATTTATAGAAATTTTTGTACTCCCACCACCCACCCCACCCCCACCCCCAACGGCTCTATTGATTCAAATTTCAAACAACCAAAGTGCCCAAGTCCCAACGGCTATATAGAGAATAGAGAATTTGAGAAGATGAAGATAATTAGAGAGTAGAGAGTAGGATTTTGGAGAAGAGATATGGAAAAATGTTTAAAATTAGGAGTATTTATAGTTTTTTTTACCCCACCCCCAAACCGCCCAGACCCCCCCCCCCCTTCCAGCCCACCCCCAACGGCTTGTTGTGGCCTAAACAAAATTTTTATTTTTATTTTTGACCGTTGGACCTGACCCGGACTCGGGCCCGACCCGGCCGAGCCGGGTCACCTTTTGCCTGAACCGAGCCCGCCCCGCCCTTCTCCCCCGGTTCGGGTCTACACCCAGTTCCGGACCGCCAGACCGGGCCGGGCCCGGTAGGAGTGGACACGGGCCGGGCCAACCGGCCCGGAACTGGACCGGCCCGCTACTGTGCAGGCCCGGACCGACCTGATGAACCAGTTGGTGCCCGGTTCGGGCCACCCAGCCTGGTGAGGTAGGCGGTTCGGGCCCGGGCCTGCTAAATAGTGAACCGGCCCGGCCGGTTCAGGCCCGGTCCGGGCCAATTTATTTATTTTGAATTTTTTTTGAATTTTTTTTTAAGTTTTGCGGTTGGGCTAGGTATGATGGGTCATTTGATGTGGTTTGGGGTGGTGTGGGGGTGAGGGGGGGTTGGGGGTTAATTAGGAAAAGCAAAAAAAAATTACATGAACCGAGGCCTGGACCGGACCCGGGGGTTACCCGGGCCGGTTCCGGGCCTCCCCTTTCATGAACCGAGGCTTGGTCGGGCCCGAACCGGAACCGGTCCACCCCTAGGTCCCGGGCCCGCACAGTAGCGGGCCGGGTCACAGCCCGGGTGGCCTGAACCGAATCCAAACCTAGATGGAGATGCTCTTACGGAGTATTAAATCTGGTCTGGTCTGTTTATATCTAGTTTAATAAATGTCCGGTCTCTGTGTATTTTATAATTACGAAAGTCTGGTCTGATCTGATCTATTTAAGACTGATCTGATCTGGTCTATTTAAGTCTAGTCTGAGACTGAAAACAATCCAAGTAAAAACATCTTATGATATGTTTGGTTCAAGGAATGTCAGATTACTATGGGAATGTCAGATTACCATGGGAATGTCAGATTGTTGGATATGTTATATTGATGGGAATGTATTCAATTGATTCTCAATCCTGTTTGCCTTGTCATCCTGTAAACTTTAGGTATGTTATATCAAATGACAATTATCTAATCTTTTATCAGAGTATCTGTGAGAGCCTAAAACCTGACCATTTCGCATCAAATCTTTACAAGCCTGTTAGTGCAAAAAAAGAGAGAGAAAGAACAACACGATCGTTGATGGGTTAAACCTTTTTATTTGACATCATGGAGAAACGGGAACCGAGAAATATCATCTTTTAATAATAATAAGAACCAACTGTTTTCAAAAATTTCCAAAACAGAAACATTCTTTCCCAGTTTCCGTTTTTCATAGGTGAATGCATTATGTCTCAGTTCTAATTAGGAGGCAACGGGAGGTTTCATTCGGATGCATTATATGCATCATAGATGTCCTCAATCTCCATTTCAGGATCACTTCCAATTATATCCCTGTCCAGACCACTCATCTCCTCATCATGTCCTAACTGAATACCACCATAGTCTTCTTCTGAACTGCTATCGAATAAGTCCCTATCGCGTGTATCATCTAGTAAATCATCCAACACGCCTTCTTTCTCTTTCTTAATTCTATACCCAACAAGGTTAAGAACCTTGTCTTTCCAATCAACCAGAGGATGTCTCTCGACTAGCTCCGAATTTTCATAGAATTCGTTCAAGAAGACGACAAATCTCCTACCTCTCTCCGAGACATAAAAGATGCCGAAATGCTTTAGCAATAGTCTCATTAACTTCTGAGGCATCACAAACTCCCTCCTGAAGTGAGTCAAATGGTCTGTCACAAGCCGCTTCTCAATCATAAAGCTTAGCAACTCATGCATTACCGCCACTGCCCTCTTATCAAACTCCAGCGAACCGGCCTTTAACCCACTGGCATCTCCGTAAGGGGACAAATACTCCCTGTTCTGAAACTTCTCAATCTGAGGTTTGTACGTGGAAATCTTCTTCTTATAGTTTGGCGGGAACTTCATTGGGAAAGACAGAGAAAGAATACCTGGAAAAGAACCTTCCGGAGCTTTGCTAACACCCAAAGCTTTCTTTTCCAGCTCGGTTATTGCCCAGCTGGAATTCCAAGTCACTAGTTCCAGATATTCACCCTCATCATAAGGCACGAAGGGTTTCACCACTCGGAAATATTCCGGATATTTGTGCACCCAATGGTTTCTGAAATCCAAAGGCAAACCCATACCCCTCCTGAAATGAGCAATCTTATCCAGGCTAATGCGTTTATCGACAGACATCATTAACATTCGAGTCAAAAACTCTGCAGATTTATCACTGTTTTTCTCTATCAGGTCATCTTCTTCATGCATTAGATTTTCAGCTTCTTTAGTCATCCCACACCATAAAACTCCCCTTTGGTCATTATAGAGTTCAAAAATCTTGGGAGATTTCCGGAGGAAATCGGAGAACTTGTGAGGCCTCGGGAGGTTGATTTGCCGTCGGTATTGATCGAGGGAACGTACGGTGATGATTTGCTCCGATTCTTGCTTTAGAGTTTCGAGTATGAAGAGGATCTTGGAGAGGATTTTTTGTTTCTCCACAACAACCTCAAGGTCATGCACACGCTTCTTTTTGCTCCGATCTTGTACTCTTTTGCTGGTGGTCATTAATCGCCGACATTCTCTAAAGAGTGATGAACGGAGTTCGCCAAGAAAACCAATCCGGTGAGGCATAAGTTTGGGGATGCTCAGAGCGAACCCTAACAGGAAAGAAAGAGTGCTTCAAATCATTTTCTTCATCTCTATGCTAGTTGTTAGATTTAAATCCTAAAGCACATCAAGGGAATCAAAGACAGCAAAGAAGACGTATACTGGAACACATATTCAGGAACTTATCATATGGATCATCCAATATCAGAAATTTTGGGAAAATGAGGTCTTTAACTAGGCTCTGTATTCACCTTTCCTTTATTTATTTACCACCAAACCACATAAATGATTCCAGTAAAAGGTCCTTTAATACTTAAATTAATCTAATTTGATATAACTCCATTAACAGGTCTTTGTTGTTTGCATATTTGACAAAAAAATAAAGAAAATATGGCATGCCAATAAGGCCGATCACTTGAAAATACAGCAGCCCATTGAGGAATTTCACAGAACACCTTATAATCAATATCAAAATTTGTTACTCTACGCTCCTGAATCCTTCAAACCTATTGATCAAACACAAATACATTTTTTAGGAAGTGTCTTGAAAATGCAATTGCCCATAAAGAGATAATTTTCTATGCCAGTAGATCTCCACTTCTCCCTGGAATGGCACTGGTCTTGCAATGGAGTTGTCAAGGGAGGACATGATTAGAGATGACTTACATAAATGTACAATTGATCCTATTGTTTGTTGTTCGTGCTGAAAGGTTGGAGACCTGAGCCGGAAAAGAATCGATCCTCAACCGTGGTATCAGAGATTAGGGTTGTCGTCGTCGTCGATTTCGCCGGATTCCACCATCTGGAACGTCTCGGCCTCCGTACGCCGCCGTACGCCGCCGATTTGAGGTCCCTGGAGTTCTCCGGCTGTTCGCTGAAGCCTCGCTCCTATTTCTCCGTCGAATCTGGTTCCCCTCGCCGTCGGCCGTCGAGTTCGAAGCTGAAGAAGTTCGCCGGAAATTTGAAGCTCGTGGCTGGAGACCGCCCGCCACTGAAATCTCGCCGCTGGACGTTGCCGTCGCAGGGAGGGCGCGCTCGCCGTTTGGTTCGCCGTCTGAAGCCACCGCCTGAGAGTTGTCCTTTTTTTTGTCGTTCTTCGTTCATTTGCAGAAGGAGGCGTGTCGCAGACGTTGCTAAAGGAAGGCTGCACCTGGGCTGGACTTGGGCTGCACCTAGATTGGGTTTCTGATGTTAATGGGCTTATATACCTGGGCTTCTGCTGATTGGACTGCTAGAGCTGGGAGCTGGGCTGCAACTGGTGGACTAGACCTGAAGGCTTGACTGAACTGGTGGACTGTTGCTGGGCTTGAAGTGTTGGGCCAGATCTGGATCTGGACAGTGGGCAGGTCAACGCCTGGTCAAAGCTAGTCAACGGTCAGACTGTCGGTCAACTCCTTTCAAACACATTCAACAGTCCGAAAAATCCCATTTTAAAAAAAAATGGGTGGGTAAAGTCGAAACGCCTCTCCTAGGGTTTCGCTCCGGTATATTAACTCGAAACTTACTTTTATCGCTTTTGTAGTTATTTAGTCTTTTATTGCTTGATAGAATTGTTGTGTTGCTTTGTGCTGAAAATTTATTATTTATTTGTACTTATACGAAAGAACAACGGGTTTGAACTTTAGTTTGGTGCTCATTAATACTCCCGTGTGTTCGTGCTAGTTGCTTCGTATAATTGTAGCCTTATAAATATTTAAATTATTTTTCAGCGAAATTTACATTTTCTTTGGTTGCTTGTTTTTTTTCTATGTGAAAATGTATGCTTATAATCAGTATGGTATGGCTCCATTTAATGAAAAATCTGATTTTAGCATTTGGAAGCAAAAAATTAAATGTATTTTAATTCAACAAAAATGTTTTAAACCAGTTGGTGAGACCTATTTAATTTCTGACACAGAAGGTAAAAAAGCTGAAATGAATGAAAGTGCATGTTCTGTGATTTATTTGAACTTATCTTATTCTGTGATTAGAAAAGTTGGGATTTTAGAGAGTACTAAAATTCTGTTGAATAAATTAGATGAACCGTATACTGAAACCTCTTTGCCTAGCCGGATGTTTTTGCTTGAAAAGATCTTCAAATTTGGACGGGATATGTCTAAGGATATTGAAGAAAATCTAGATGTTTTTATCAAACTTATTTCTGATATTAACTTGTGTGGTGATAAGCACATAGATGATTATTCCCCTATTGCTCTTTTAAATGTTATCCATGATTCCTTTAGTGACGTGAAATCTGCTATTAAGTATGGTAGAGATAATGTGACTCTTGACATTGTGGTTAATGGTCTTAAGAGTAAGAAATTAGATTTAAAACAGATGGGTGGGGGTAGAAAATCCGAGGAGGTTATGCATGTGAGGGGTAGAGATAATAATAGACGACGTAGATCTAAATCTAGGTCTAATTCAACGCGTTGCTATTATTGTCATGAACCTGGTCATTTCATAAGAGTGTCCTAAATCTAGGGAAAATAAGCATAGTGAGCATGCTAATTTGATTACTTGTGAAGAGGATTTAGGTGATGTTTTTATGATGAGAAAACTTTGTGATTATGACTATTTGAGTTCTGTGATATCTGATTCTTTGGGTAAATCAGATTGGGTGATAGATTCTGGTTGTGCTTTTCATGTGTCCCCTTTGAAAAATATTTTTTCACTCTATAATGAGATTGAGCATGGCTTTGTGTCTTTGGAAAATGAGAAGAAATGCAATGTGCTAGGAATAGGAGATGTATGCCTTAGATTTTCTTCTGGTTGTAAGCTTACTTTGAAGAATGTTAGGCATGTTCTTGAGCTGTACTCTAATTTGCTATCTTGTGCTTCTCTTGAAAATGATGGTTTGAAGGGAAAATGGGGAAAAGGAATCATGAAGGTTGTGAAGGGTTGTTTAGTTGTTTTCAAAGCTAAGATGAAAAACAACTTGTATGTGTGTCGTGCTGAACCTGTCCTTGATTCTGTGAATTGTGTGCAACCTTGTGTGATAGGAAAACAGTCTAGAGTTAGTTTTTCTAATCTGCCTAAGTGTACTGATGTGCTTGATTGTATTGATGCTGATTTGTGGGGTCCTTATAGTGTTTCCACTCATGGTGGAGAAAATTATTTTCTGACGTTGATCGATGACTTTTCAAAGAAAGTGTGGGTTTTGTTGATTGAGAAAAAACCTGATGTTTTTGATAAGTTTAAAAACTAGAAAACCCTTGTTGAAAATCAAACTGGTAAGAAAATAATGTGTTTAAGGACAAATGTCATTTTTTATTTCTGTGATGATCAACTTGATGATTCATGTGATACTTGGGGTATTTCTATGCATAAATATGTTCCCTCCGCACCCCAACCAAATGGGGTTGCTGAGAGAATGGTTAGAACTCTTTTAGAGAGGCTGAGGGCTATGTTAGCATCATCTGGGCTCTCTAAAAAGTTCTGGGGGAGCTATTTGTTATGCTGCTTATTGAGTAATATGTCCCCGTTTGTTCCCTTAGAAGGGATTTGCCCTGAATCTGTGTTCACGGGCAAACCGCTTGACTTGCCAAATTTGAGAGTGTTGGGTTGTGCTGCTTATGTGAATCATGAGAATGATGAATTTGAACCTAGGACAAAGGAATATGTTTTCTTATGATATAATGAATGCATGAAAGGTTATATGCTTTGGTGTATGAGTGAAACTTGCTTCAATGTGTTGATAAGTAGAAATGTCATTTTTGTTGAAAAGAATTTCCTTGTTTGTTTGTTTCTCCTGATGTTGCTCTAAATGAGGTGGAGCATTTGCCTGTTGAAGTTCATTCTGATTTACTTGTTGAAACCGAACTCAAATTTGTGAATAAAAATGTTTTTCAAGTTGGAAATAAAGAAAACAATACTTCTATTAAGGTGGAGCATGATATGAATGTTATGTGCAATATGCTTGAGTTGCGTGATTGCTATGTTATTAGAGATAAAGACATTAGGGAGCATGAGAGAGATAATAAGTGCAAAGTGTTTGACTATATTTCCTCCGAGTTTGCTTTAAGTGTGCTTAATTCTCTTTTGATTAAAATCTTTATGATATTTGGTATGTTATTTTCTTTATGTTTTGAAAATGTGATACTAAGTGATTATGTGAGCTCTACTTGTGCTAGTTATAGAAATAATATTGTTTCTTTAATTTTTTAGTGTACTTGATTTGTGTGGTTGGATTAGTTGGAATCCCCAACTTCTCCCAGTTGCTTGCTTGCGTGGTCTATTAACATGCGTTGTGTTTGTTAATAGTTTTGTGATGGTTTCGGTTCTGAACTCGAGGATCGATTGGTAGAGTTCAGTCCATTATGAATTGGGTTTGCATGGTAAGCTTGGTCCGAAAGGGAACTTTGTGGTTCTCATCTATTACTTGTATTATCTGCATGATGCACTTGTAATGGTTCGGCGATGATGAGTCTCCTAACTAGCTTGTATTGTTACTCTACACCACTTAGGGCCAATAAGGTGGAAAATGTTGGAGGTATTGGTCCTACCAAGGCCTCCCTTCCATTTTATTATTAACTTGCACCCTATGTTTACTTCCATTGTACCATTCCTATTATTGATCATCTCATGTCTGTTGTCTCACCTCTTATCTGGCTTTGGCCCCCTAATTTGTATGTTGCGATCTGTCCCTTTGGCTTGGTGTTACCCATGAGTTGTCAAGAGGCCAACATCCTATTATTAGAAGCATTAGCCTCTTCCTGTGAGAAACTAAAGAGAGCAGACCTTTCCCTTTCCTTTGTGTGAGAGAGGTAAAATCAGAGAGTTGAAAGCATAGTGTGTGAGTCCCTAGAATGGTGTGTGAGTGGAGTGAAAGGTTGGAGACCTAAGCTCAACACGTGCTACAGGAGGATTGAATCATTGAAGAAATCCTTGAAGCAGCAAAGTTTTATTTTCACAGATAGAGACCTTGGCCGGCCCTGATTATTGTTGGTAGGATGACAGATAACCAACAATCTAATTCGACGAAGTTTAGTAAATCTTTTCATCTTAGCAAGCTTGGCGAGAGATGCTTTATACAGAAAGAAAATACGGGGGAAATAAAGCATTGGTAAAAAAAGTTATTTATTAATCTATATATATATATGTATGTATAAAGCATTGGTAAAAAAGTTATTTATTAATATATATATGTGTTATGTAAAGACAAAAAGAAAAACACCTTGAACCTTTTTTAAAAGATTAAACATATGTCATTTCCCTTTTTGTATGAGATAAAAACAAACACAAGAAAATAGCTCTCCATAGCATTTTTGTCATTCCCAATGAAGTTTGAAAACAGAATAATATGTGACTTTCTGTGTCCCTATTTTTGTGATTCAAACATATGTAAAATGCATATGATATGCCGAAAGGTTGAATACAGAATAATATGGAACTAAAAACAAATATTAATATGGTAAGATTTCGTATATCCAACCTAATGAAGTTAAGTTTGTACTTCTTTGAGGACTTTTCTTGAGCACTTTACTTGCAAACAAGAATATTGAACTACTTTACATCATCTACATAATCTTCTGAATCTATATCAATCGTTCACACGCATTCACATATAAAAAGGCATTCAAATGTTTAATCACCAACCAAAATCATATTTCAATTTGTCTAAAATTAAGCAAAGTATTGAAGATTATTAACAAAAATGAGGAAGTGATGAAGGACTGCCTACTGGGGGTGCTGGCTGCTAGCGGAGACAACGAAAGAAGCTGCTGACGGAGGGAATGACAGGAGAAGACGAGATCACGAAATGGAGCTAAGGTAAGCTAGAGAGAAACACAGTCTGTTGTGTAACAGAAAATAAAATCCTAATCAAGCCAGTTTTATTCTAAGATAATAAGAATGAATCCTGGCGAGGGGTATAAATAGCCTTCTACAAGAAACCTTAATCAAGCCCAAATTAATTAAATCCTAATTAGGCTCATACTAACTCTACTAAGTAATCTACTAATAAACGACCCAAACCAAAACATAACATTAACTTAATAATAATAAATAAACTATAAAGACAGCCCGTAACCGGCCCACGAAAGTGTGTCCAAGCCCGGTCCCGCCCCATGCTCTTCCCGCTACGTATCAATCCATCCTCCTTCAAATTAACCTTGTCCTCAAGGTTGAAATCTCGCGGATCGGGAACTGAAATTTCCAGCCATAGAATAAACAAACAAATATCCCTCATCTCTTTCCTGAACTCTTTACTGACCTGTTATTTCACAGTACTCATGCTGTTGGAGGTCCAACTCTTCATCCTCCTCAGCTGTTATTACCCACAACTGCTTAAAGGGGCAGTCATTCCCTGGTGTAAATGATTTCTTACACCTAAAGCATAATCCTTTCGCCCTCAATTCTGCAAACTCCTTTGGCGGAAGACGAATGAACCGAGAGCGTGTCTTATAGGCTGCCCGGACAACCCTGACTTTGTCCCCAGAGGCTGCCCAATGTCTTTAGGAAAGTTGCCATTTGATTCTCTTAAGATGTCACCACTTATGGTCGTGCTGTTACTACCACTTAGGCGCGAAAAACTGTCTGAACGGAAGTCTGTGTTGTAGGGTTCACTTTCCCAGTCTCCATCTTAAAAGGACAAGTTGTCCTCAATATCTCTAGCCAAATCCATTGCAATCTCCAGATTGTTTGGCCGCAACAATCGTAAGAATCCCTGAATCGGTCCCTTCAGCCAGTTCATGAAATACCCCAAATAATGATCATCAGACAGCCCAGGAGCCTGACTGGCCAACTGCACAAAAGGTTATTGTATTCTTCTATGGTTCCCAACTGTTTGGCCCCGAATAACCGTTCAAATCGGTTGCCCTTGAACCGTGCCTTCAACCAGGTCAACCAGTACAGGGCATCCCCTTCCATGGCTACCGTAGCTACTACCATATTGCTTCCAGGTAAGGTTTGATGAATTTCAAACTGTTGTTGAGCTCTGGCCACCCATCTGATGGGATCTTCGCCGTCAAACGAGGGCAACAAGGTGGTCGTTGTGCTGATGCAGCGTCGCCGACTGACGCGGCTCTTTTTCCGGTGGTGTCATGGCCCTTGCGAGTGCAACGAGTGACACTACAATCTCTGTCAGCTGGATCGCTTGCGCATCCAGCTTCCGTCCGTGCGCGTCGAGCTTCTCATTCATTAGGGCTTGCTCAGCTTCTACCTCCGTTATACGATCAATGTTTGATCTCGTCATTCTGCTGGTTTGGATCCGACAGGTCGAATCAATTGTTGCCCGGATAATCAACGATATAAATATCGTTGCCCAGAGCCAAAAGGCTAAACCCAATTTTATTCCAAGATAATAAGAATAAACTCTGGCGAGGGGGTATAATTGTATAAATAGTCTTTTACCATAAACCATAATCAAGCCCAAATTAATTAAATCCTAATTAGGCCCATACTAACTCTACTAAGTACTCTACTAATAAAAAGTCCAAACCAAAACATAACATTAACTTAATGATAATAATAAATAAACTATAAAGACAACCCGTAATCGACCCACGAAAGTGGGCCCAAGCCCAGTCCTGCCCCATGCTCTTCCCGCTACGTATCAGAGTCCCTAGAGAGAAAATAGGAAATAGCAAAGCCTTTGCCTAAGATTACTTTTTATACTCACTGCAATTGGCTGGGAGAATATAACATCTTCAAATGATCATTTACATATACTTCGTATAAATCTGTCTTTTCACCGTTGTATTAATGGCACAACAACAACAATATTTTACTACTAATGCAACAAACAAGCACATCTATGGGTGGACTCAGGCCGGGTGGCCTGACCCGGGACCGGCACTGTGCTGAACCGGCCCGGCCTGTGACCAGTCCAGGTAGACCCGGCCTGGGGGGTTCTCGGTGCAGGCCTGTGACCGGTCCGGGTAAACCCGACTGGTACGGGCTCGGTTCCGGGCTTTTATTTTATTTTATTTTTCATTTTTTTTAACTTTTCGGGTTGGGCTGGGTATTTTGGGCCATTTGGGGTGGTTTGGGTGGGGGTTGGGGGTGGGAGGGGGGTTAATTAGGAAAAGGAAAAAAATTGATCCGAGCCCCAACCCGGCCCGGCCCGGACCCGGTGGCTACCCGGGCCGGTCTCGGGCCCACCTATCCAGAACCGTCGGCCCGCCTGGGCCTAGGCCCGACCCAGCACGGCCCGGACCCGGCCCGGCCCGAATCCACCCCTAAGCACATCTGCGCATTATTATTTATTATTGTTACTAACAATTTCTACAACATACAAGCCTTATTACCAAAAGATTTTGAGATCAGCTTACTAACAATGTCTATTTACACAAAATCATGGAGACAGCTAAGTAGCTAGCTGGATGGCTTTGCCCCAAGGATTTTGGAAAGCTCCTTTACCATCATAGTCTTCTCCTTATTAAGGCCTGCTTCCCTTTCCCAATGCCATTTCTTTGACACATCACCCGCCTGAAATTTAAGTTTAGTTAATTTTCACAATCGTTAGGTCTATATACAGTGTGTTTCAAGGACGGTTCAGTCTGTACCCAAGTTCTCAAAGGACTCAGCCGCTCCTTGAGCGCTTCGAATCTTGGGTGAATAATGTCTTTTCCTTTGGTCCTTACATCATCAGCCTGTTCAAACATGCAAATGATTAGCCTTGCACAGCAGCACAGTTGCACAATACACTAAGCTCTCACAATTACCAGACTCTAAATTCACTATACCCTCAAATCCTCAATAATGTTGTGTGAGTGACTGTGTGTATGAGAAATCACAAATGCTGTTGGTACACATATTTTGTACTCATTTTGTGTACCCCCTAGTTGTCTGTCTAAACATGCAATTAGTTCTGAAGTTGCTCTGTAGGGGGTGTACACAAAAGGTGTACAAAATATGTGTACACCAAGAATGGTTCACGAGAGATGAATAGAAAGAGAGATAGAATAGATGTAGTCAAGCACGCCCAATGGGAATTCCAATCAGACACTTTAATTTTGGATACAAATTAATTCAACAGGTTTCCTTCATTAATATCAACTACTAATTTCAATTGTTAGATCATGCCAACAATTACTGATAGCTTCCTTTTTTATGATAAGAAAATCTTAAGAATTACATAATAAATACTGAATGGGAGAAGGAATTAGTATACCCTTGGAATTATTTGGCAGAGAACATATATATCACTTGACTTTTAAAAAAAAATAAAACACAACAAAACTGAAAAATTGGAGAAACAATATACCATTAAACTGTATACATTATAGAACATATATACCCCTCTACTATTTGGTCAGAAGGGTATATTTGTCCTAAATTTACAATTATTGTGTCAATTGTTCCAAAAGAATGTTGATGGGCATATGAGTTCTTTGACGTACAATTTAGGGACATATATGTTCCTTCTCCCATTCAGAAGGAGAGAAAATGGATTACTAACTTTTATAATTGAACAAATTGAACATCTACTAGTTGACAATTAGATAAACTAAAGAGCATAAAACAGAATCGTTGAATTGCAAATTTCCCCCATGCTTTTCTGACCAAATTCATGTTATATACACATGAGACGTGCATGAAGGGAACACTACTCTCTCTATCACAGACGTGAGAATATTAGTACGTGAGATGGATCATATGCTTACATTGTGAAGTTCCATCTTAGAGGCAGCCAATCCAAATGCCAAGGCGGCACCACCAAAGACAAAAGTTGTAGCAGCAGCAAATGCCTTGCCAACTACAAATGACCAATTTTTCAGATACCCAATATAAATGTTACCAAATATCACATGGCAGTTATAAAATATTATTTTGCAAATGAAACTTCCACACATTTGAGTAATAGTGGCCATTTCTATTGGTTTGCATGCATTTCACAGAATAGAACACAGGCAATGATCAGATCACCAGACTTTGATTGCACAATGCAAAAGTTATTCACTTATCAAGCATAATGTGTATCACCCGTTCATGGATCATATATAATGAGTTTCATGGGAACGGAGCCGTAAATAGGTTTACTTAACCAATAAAACTGGATCATAAGTACTTTTATTAGCCTTCAATCTTTTTAGAAGATGTATGCAGGACAGTGGTAAAGGGAACTATACCCCAATTCATGGTATGTGGGGTTTCTGTAGAAATCTGTTGTAACTTGTAACTTGTCAACAATCATTTACCATGTCAGTTTTTATATATATTTATAATACGAAGTGCACAATTTGATGGAAAGTAAAAACATACTTGGACTCGTAACTGAACATGGAGGGGCTGGATCCCCCCATTCTTTCACCGAGTTTGGACACAGACACACATATATATACAAATATTTATGAACTACAAAACAACATGTTGATATTAAAAGTATTTATAAGCTTTGGCACCCTAATACAACTTTTTTGGCTCCATCCTTGCTTGGACAACAACAAATGCAACTGTTTGCTTTTTCTTGTGAGAAATCCCTCATTAGGGCATGATATAAAAATAGAACAGCTTGTTTTTTGTAACATTCAGTGAACAAAAGCTACTTTCCGCACTGCAATTTTTTAACCCATCAATCCCCATCGTATATGCATGTCAGTATAATTTTAGTGGAGGAATAAATTCCTACGGCAGAAATGAATGACTGATACACATTTATATATAAATAAAGACTTGCAGCATATCCTGGATTCATTAAGTGGAGTTAGACAAGTAAACAGTGCTTACTAAGCAACAATACACATCCATGAGAATATTAGTAAACCAAATTTTTGTATGAAAAAGAAAACATGAATGGCTTAATCTTACTTCGAGATAGGCCTGCAGCTGCAGCCCTTAGCTTTTCAGGATTAACTGTGGTTTGTCTGTCACTTCGCAATTCATTTGCAGTTGAGGCGAGTAATGGGTTCTCAGAGCTAGGCAGCTGCCATCTAGGCAAATATTTAACACAAAGTTATCATAAAAAATCTTTGTTTAAATGTGTGTGTGAGATAACACTATGAAAACATGGTAAATGGAATGAAGTCCTTAAACAGATCAGATCAGCAAACATAACATAAATCTTTATATCAAACTCTATGAGTATTTAAAAGCCTTTGTGGATATCATACCATCTTACAAGCGGAAGATTCAGATTTAGGCAAAGTTCAATCACTTAATTAGTTAATTCTATATCTATGTTCTCTTCATCAATGTAACTATCATACGTATAACTAACAAGGTTCAAGCAGGATATGAGACTTTTCGACGATCACTTCTCTGTTTCTTATATATCAAATTTAAGAACCAAGACCAGTAACTCATTATTTTCATTTCTTACTAATCGCCACTTATTAGATGGAATCACCAATAATGTTTAAATCTGAAACTAGTCAACTACAGCGGAAGGATCAGTCATTCTGTTTCAACAAAATATCCTATTTCATGTTTGAACAAGACAGCCAGAAATTAAGCACCCCGGGTGGGAAAAATATATTCTTTCAATCAATATAAGGTCAGGCTTCACCAATAAGAGGAAGGAAAACCAACCTTTTAGGTCCAAAGGTGACTTGGGGAATAGAAACATAAGCTTTGAGAGGGTTCATAGCATCAGGGGACACAAATGAAGTGGAACTTGGGTCACTTCGGACGACCCATTTGGTAGCTGCTGTAAGAGGTGAGTCCGAAGAAGTTGAAGACTGCGGAGATCGGAAGATCTTAGGCGGCAGTGAATGCCTTAAAACCTCTGGCAGAACATCTGCAGCTTCGGAATCTTCGTTCCGGGCGACGGAATTAGCGGTTGTGGGCGATGACGAAGGAGGTTTCTTCCGCGCGAGACGAGCGACGGCTTGTTTGGATTCGTTTAAGAAATAGGCGCCCTCTGTTGCTGCTAGTCTTCCCGCAAGAAAACTCATTTTGCCAGACTTCCTTCTACAATTTCTTGTCTGTCTTGTAAAGAATATGTGTCTGACACTTGACAGGGCAATGAGGTTTCACCGGATGACTAATTTAGGATTATTACATTAAAATTTCTGGTAAGTTTGGTTTATTTTGAATTTTGATATGATGTGATCTGATGTGCAATGAATGATTTCTGTGTATTTAATAACTAAATAAGTTTGGTTTGCTCTAATATAGAACTTAAATAAGTCCAACATCCATAGTGAAATAGGTCGGAAATGTTGAATCTCCTCAATTATAAAGTTAGTATGCTTGAATCTCCTCAATTATGAAGTTATTATGCTTGAATCTACTCAATTATGAAATTATTATGCTTGAATCTCCTCCTCAATTATGAAAATGGTATTGCAAATATATTTTAATAAGTAATAATATAAATACAAACTTATATAAAAAAAAAGCTTAAATGGTCGTTTAGATTAAATTTAGTCATTTCAGGCAACAATGTAACTATATTTTTTTTGGAATGAATATTGAACGCTCCTCTTATAGGACCTTATTTTCTCCGAAAACCACGACAATAAGCTAAGAACATGGTCTATCCAAAATAAAAGACAATTATGTCATTTATTTTGTGTGGATACAGGGAAAATACGAAAATGTAATTATTATGTAAGAATTTAATAGCGAAATTCAGGGATTATTAATAATGGATGGGGAAGGCTTTGCAGACTCATAATCAACTTGATCATCTTCTGGTGTATAAGTGTAAGTAGCCTCGTGATCATATTGACCTTTAGGGTGCAAATTGGGATTGTATTTATCGCTTCCTTTGGAGGTAGACTTAAGTGGGGACAGATTCAAGTGGACGAATGTGTTGCCTTCGGAGTTTGATTTGGGTGGCTCCGCAGCGATCATGTTGTGGCATGTTTGGCTAACACAGTCAAGAATGTTTCCTTTTGTTCCGAGAGCGTAGCACTAAGAAAGAGGAGCAGGACACCCAACACAAGATCCTTCATCTCTTCTAGTCTTCTTTAATTTCGTTAATCTCTTTTAAACCAATCTAGCTCCACAACAATGTAACTATAATCTCAATTATTTTATTTTGATTATTATATAATTAAGCGCGAAATACTTATAAGTTACGTATTTGATAAACAATTAGCCGATAAGCTAAAAATATGGGTTATCATATAGGGTCTTATTAATATCACATATAACATACCTCTAAACTCTCTTTTTGTTAAATCCCAACTTCAATCACTAATCCTGAACTCCGAAGAAACCACTCCAAACTCATGATAGAAGTAAATCTAAGTCGCACAAACAATTCGTTAGATTCCCAATGCCCATATGTACACCACCACAAATAAGAAATCGCATTTAACGAATTGACTTCACATGTCCACAAATTCCCCGCACAATCATCAGTAGAACTTGTCATTGATTGGTCACACTGTCAGACCTCTTGCAAGAAATCAGCTCTCATACTGCAGTTTGAGGCGATATAAACACTGGTTGCGCGATCCCTCAAAATATCTTTGAGACCACACGACCAATATTTCAAAATATTCTTCCAAATTCATCTCTTTAATGACTTGAATCCTAAAGTATGATGTATGGTCCACTTGGATGCGACTTACTACATGATATACTATTATTCAATTTCCACTCAAGGCATTCCTCGAGCCCTGAATATGTTTTTCCCAAAGATCGTTATTCTTCACAACCATCAATGGCGGTACCATAGGTAAACGCTTACCTCCCCTGAACTATCACTATTGATTGGAGAAGTGGATCTATGTTTTTATCAGATTAATATGTTTTATAAGGAAGTAAATGATGACATTAGTGTCCAGACAGACTCAACTCAAGTGCAAGTATAGTGCAACAACTACACCATCGGTCCATCTTTATTTCCCATTCGCACAGACAAAAAAGTACAAATACAGACACTTTCGATAAAATTGTCGGTGTGAAAAAAATTGGTTTGCTGATTGATGTACCTTTTTGCAGATCTGTCAGGGTCGTTGCATGGAAACCAATGTCAGTGTACACAGACATTTGTTTCGGCGCAATCTAACCCTGACTTTTTTAACATTTTTTTTCTGTGTACACGGACACCGAAAGAAAACCAGTGTCTGTGTACACATATTTTTTGTTTATGGCAAAAACCTATAGAACTTTACTAGCTTTTTCGTTTCATCTTTCATTACAAGTAATATTTATCATTATTTAGCACCATACAAAAAAAAATTCAGGTGACTCTGATACTCATGTGAGTTTCTGGCAAATTTTTCGGTGAAAATGGTAATGGAAGATGATGGTGAATAAAACGTACAAAGAAAGAAAAGGAAAGAAGGAAATAAAAAGAAGAAGGAGGAGAAAGGAAGAAAGAAAGAAGAAAGAGCAAGATGATGATGATGATGATGATGATGATGATGATGAAGGAGAAAGAAAGAAGAAAGAGAGGGGGGTTCGTATGATGCATTCGGATCCAGTTCCTCTTCCTTGCTTAGGTAGGTAAGGAGGGTGTCTGGCCAATTTGAACCATCAGATAAAAAAATCAATGGCCTAAAATTAGTGGGTTCATTCTTGGCACAAATCTCGAGTGTTGAATTTTAATCCCTGCCTTCTATTTTAGTAAGGTACGATGCCTTATGGCAGAGGATCTCAATCCATGCAAAAGGGAGAGAAGAAAGTGAGGAGGGAGAAACTAAAAAATGAGGAGTTATATATGGTGTACCCCTTGGATGTAATCCAGGGTGTAGAATTTTTCCTAGTGCAATCTTAGTGTTTTTGTAATTTGTGGCGGAAGAGTTGTATTGTACTACGAGTACGTCTGATTTATTTTGTACAATAGTAGTTACTACTCGAGTTAAATTTCAATCCAAATGAACATAATAGTTATGTTAATATCCTCTATATATATTTTGGTAACCCTAAATTGTACTCCCTCCGTTCCGTTGGAATGTTCCCGTTCGGTTTACGATGCTTGACTGACGATAAAGCAACTTGATCCCTGTTCACACTCCGCTTATTTTTAGTAAAAATAAAATTTACATATTCAGAAACTACATTAAACCCGCTACAAAGCCTGATCAAGAAAAGTTCAATTTGATAAAAATTTGATATATAAAGTAAAAGATTAGGAGTGACCTAAGTTGACCAATGAATAGTGAATGGGAACATTCTAACGGGACGGCGGGAGTAACTAAGTCTTAAAAAAGATTTATATATATTTTGGTAAAACTAACTGAGTCTGATATCAGATTTATGTTGGGTGTGTCTCGAAAAATGAAGAAATATTAATTAATAAAAACAATTAATTAATTAAAATAGCCAAAGAAAAATAGAAAATAAGATGGGACAGAAATTAGCCAGAGCTCGTGCCACGCACGATGTCCTTAAAACGTATTAGTCGCCTCCCACGTTGCTAGGAGCGTTGCAACGACCGTTTCCCAGGATACGGTGGCTAACGAACTAACGTTTGAGCACACGAACGAAAGTTTCGGCGAATGAGAACAAAGGTAAAACACCAAGAAAATTTTCGGAGTAGCTGGAAGTGTTTTTAGAGCTAAAAACTACGTTCAAATTGCTAGTGAACGCGTGTTTGTTGCAAGGCCAGCTATTTATAGGAGGATTTGTTGTGTGTTAATGTGAGAGTTAAAGGACCTGAACGTTGGACATCAATGACCAATCCGTTGGGCATTTGAATCGTCCATGAACTGTTCATTTAACGTTGCATTAAAAGATAAGAATGTTGGGCATTTATCAATTTTATTGGTGTAACGGTTCAGGTGTGCTACCAGAACTGCTATGATGGGGTCTTCTGCCACAAGAATACCTACCTCTAAGGTCTTCTGGTGCGCAGAACAGAAGAGCTCCGCATAGGTCTTCTGTCCGAGCAGTTCTGCCGCTAAGCACTCCTGCTTCTGGGAAAAACTAAAACGTTACGGGAAGAAACAAAAATTAAATCATATCTTTTGAATGATAGATTTTTGGATAGCGTTCTTGTCCGCAGGTCGCCTGCACACGCAAGTCGCAGTTTTTCTTCTCCATTCTCGAAATTTGATCGGCACCCCCATGCGCACAAAGAGAGTCTTTCCCCATAGGAATCTTAACTTCTTCAAAGAGGGTTCCCTTTATAAGGGGTGAAAATCGTTTGAGTTTTCCGGTGTGGGATAACTAACACTAGAAACCCGTCATTTTCTCAGTTTTTTTTTTAATTTCAACGAGTGAACTTCGAGAATCAATTTCTCATTCATCCGTTATCCGTTTTGAGTGTATTATATATCGAATTGTAGCCCTTAACAAGGTCAATTCGAAACCACTTTGACCCGACCCAAATCGGAAGTGGACCCCACTCAAAGTATTGCCCCAAATTGACCACTTAATGCAATTTTAACACATTTTTTTCAACAATTTATACATATTTTTGTAAAACTAAGTGAGTATGATATAAGATTTATAACTTAATTTGTTATCGATATAAGCGATTTATAGTAAAAAAAATCTCAATATAACTTGTTGGCTTCAGGCTAACTTTAAATACTTTTTAAAAAAATCAGCAAATCGAGCTAATCACATTTCAATTTGACTTGACTCAACACCGAAGCGGTCATTTTTATCATTTGCATGCTTTGATTTCAATTATTTGCAGAAATTATTTTTATATCAACCCCAATTTGCAAATTAATCTCTCACACAACTACGTTCAGTTAATTCCGTATTTGTGGACATTTTGCAGATAGCAGGTATATAATCAGTGGCGGAGCCAGGAATAAGAAGCTACATGGGTCAGAGGCTTAAAATATTTATATAACAGGGCCCAAAACTTAAATTCTTATAAAAATTGCGCAATATAGGAGTAAATATAAACATAATTGCACAAATAGGAGTAAAACTTAAAACTTCCTTCAATAGAAGTAAACATTAATTTTGTACCCTTAATATCCCTAACCTAGTTAATTCTAAAATATGACTCATTTAATCCTAACCTAGTTAATTTATGACTTATTCGATAATATTAATAATTTATTTATTTATTTATTTTTCAAAAAATAAAAATATATATTTTTTAAAAAAAACTCAAAA